CTCTCTCTCTCTCTCTCTCTCTCTCTCTCTCTCTCTCTCTCTCTCTCTCTCTCTCCCCCTTCCCATTCTTCTTGAAAATCAAATCAAATATTTGTCGCGTGTTATCGGAATTAACCCAAGCTGAATGAATAAAGCAACAAGCCAGATGCATTCTGTGCGTTATAAATTAGAATAGATACGCGTAGCGGTGCTATATAGATTATCGACATTTCGATAACCACACACTATCGATACATATATCGGTCCACATGTCAATACAGATTTAATCGATGTTTTGCACCGGTGGTCCTCGACGAATCGATTATCCGACATTAATTTTAACTTCTACACACCGCTATGCAATGCGAAAAGAGAGCGTATACAAACAGATTTATCTCGTAACGTTCGCACACTCGTTCGAAAACTCGAACGGCGTGCATTCGCGAGCGGAGATAGATATTATCGTTGATAATACCATTCGCGTTATTGTACCTTATCTCTCCCGTCAGGAGAGGAACACACATTGGAAAATTTACAATTTCGATTTTATACGCGATTGCATACGTGTTTGCAAGAATTTAAACACAACTCGTAACTCTCCTCGTAAAGGTTAACGATCCAACGATTCGTTCGTACGTTTTTTGTCTACGCGCAAAACGCTCTTTCTCTCTCTCACTCACTCACTCACTCACTCTCTCGATCTTGTGTCCCGTTCCCCCATTTCTTCTCTCACTTTAATAGGACGGGAATATCCTCGAGGGTGCAATGATGCGAAAACATCGGTTTCCCCTCTCTCCCAAGCTTTTCACGATAATATCACTTCAAGGCTCTCTCTTTCACCACCATTTATCAACTAATAATATTAGCAAATCGACCAGTTACGAGATTATCGACGTCGTCTTTTCTGTCTCGATTTCTATCGATGTATTATAGTTGGATACGATTTTATCGTTATATATTTCGTTTCTTTTTCTTCGATGAAAATATATCGCGTAGTTATATTTCTCCCGGCCTATTCATACGTGTTGGTATTTGTTGAACGAGAACGATGGCACGGATGAGTTACGTTTACGTACGCGGGACATCGATGTCCCGGATACGAGGATCTTGTTACCGAAGAATGGACTAATGGACAGGTTCGTTTGCTATCGTATACTCATCCATCGTTGCCGAGCCTGGAAATAAGTTTGTCCAGCAATGGATTCCTTCGCTTCGAGAAGTTTGCCTCGATCGTTCTTTCGTTGACAGAATCGTTCACCCGATCTTTTCTTCTCCTCTCGTTTTTATTTCTTCTTAAGCGTTTATTTCAAATAACATTTTAATCTCTCAAACGATATTTTGAGCTTTTCACTTCGCTAGTGAAAATTTATACACTATACCCGATATTATTCGATCGTATTCGTATCTGTACGTAAATGTATAAAATATGACGATAAAAAATTATCGATGGAAATTTCATACTGCTATCGCGTTTTGGTGCGATACTTTAATGTAACGGCGAGAAAAAAACGGCCGTTCGTATCCATTTACAAAACGCGAAGGGAAACGTGGGGAATACATGGTTGCCAAATTAACGGACTCGCCGTCGAGGTCATTCGAGAACTTTCGAGATAAAGATCGAGTATAGAAGAAATTCCAAATATAATACGGATCGCGTAGCATCGATTATTTTTGTTCAATTTAATAAATTTTAATTTTTTTTTTTTTTTTTCATACAACAAAAAAGGAATTGTAAGCGCGCGAAAACTTATCGCTAGTTAGATACGTATGTGCCTTGTGACCAACAAGACACACGTATTTCACTTAAGTTATCGGATTAGGTGGCATAACGAATCTATAACCGTTAAAATGGATTTGTCTTCTATCGCTTCTCGTTACGCGGAACGGATATTGCCTATACGAAAATTGATGGTCTATTTTTGCGGTGTGTATGTATCGTGGAAGAATTCTTTTACCGTTTTTCAACAAACAACTTTTAGCTTTGAAACAAGGTAGAATGGAATGCCGGAGCGTTACAAATTTACCGAGAACAATCCGACTCGGTTTCTCTCTTTCGATTTCTCGACATACTCTTCGCGCGCTTTCTCTTTAGAATTCGAAACGCAAAACGTTTAGAAATAATACGTTTTTAGTCGATTGTTTAAAAACCATTTTTTTTCCCCTCGATCGATTTTGGTTTAATTATTATCGGCTTTCGTAGGGTGTGTGCGATCCAATATCGGCATTATGTTATACCAACGACAATGAACAATCGCAAATCCGCGTATCGTAATCGGATAGTTAACTAACCATCGCTGGTATCGTTTCCTCTCCGGTCAAAGCGAGTTAGCCGAGAATCGTTTCGATCCCAAGCGTGTATGTCCCGCCTAAGTTAAAAAAATTCCACGCTACACGTCTCTATCGTTATTCCATGCTCGAATTATCCGAATAGACGCGGATCTTTTTTTTACCGACGATTTTTCGCCAACGATGTTTTATCCAATTATTCGACCGTGCTTCGTAAACATTTACTCGTTAAGTAATTTTCCTTTTGAAAACTTACCGAGAATTCGCATGAACGTTAACGGCGAATGTGTGCCAAAAGTGCAATTCTTCTCTCGGTAGGTCGTCTTGTTTTCACGCTCAAGGTTAACTCAAAGTCACCTTATTATAGTTAATATATATTATAGTCGATCGTAAATCGATTTTTTTTTTTTCCCTTTCTTTCTTAACTATACGATGTAATATCGAGAAAAATTTCAAGATCTCGAGCAAAAGAAAATTTCGATGCAAGAAAATTCGCGTTTATATATAACGGTTGCTCACTAAAAAAAATATAGACGTTTTCGAGGAATATTGACATATTCGCGGGAAAGTTTAGCGAATAATAATAACAAGGATAATTTATACTCGGTAAAGTGGAAAGATATCATCTTTCATCGCTCGGTGGTAATCGATTCCTCCAATAGAAACGCGGACTAAACGCGTTAAGCACGCTTGAACGAGAAACTCTATCAAACCGCTGTATCCAGTGTACGAAGTTATCCAATAAGTGGCGCGTTTCTTTCGTTACGAATTAATCATCGTTTAACATTTAACATACGCGATAAAATTTCAAACGAATTTACAGGGATTTAATAAAAGATATTCGTGATGAAAAGAAAAAAATAATAAGGAAAAAGTGTCGTAAATACGACGAAGGAATAGCCTGAGGAAGGAGGAAAATCGCGTGTACCAGGTCGAATAATGGTGCATTAAGAGCAATTAGATCTGCAGTTGCGATTATAACAAAGCAGTTTCGATTTTATATAATGCACGGCTGTTTTTTTTTTTTTTTTTATGGTTACAAAACAACTTTTCGCTCGAAATTTACATTTTTTTCGAATTTTCTTTCTAAAAAGAAAAAAAGAAAAAAGAATTATCGTTTAATACGACAGATCGCGTTTATATCGACGTTTTAATCCACCGACGAAGAATGGAGGGAAAAAAGCCGACTTTCTTCGAGAAACGAAAATATCTCGCTTACTGCGTGCGATTTTAATATCGTTTCGGAGAAATATTCGATTAACACGCTTCTAAGGTATCGTGATAATCGGTACACGAAAGGATGTGAGGTTTCGCGTCCATTTCTCAACTTCGTGGTCGCCATATTGCGATACCACCATTTCGAAGAAAATCTAGAAAGATCATTTTTGAAGTAAATAAATTTTAAATTCACTTTAAAAAAATCGTTTAGACCCGGACCTTGAATACCATACCGTGGTTTCCCTTTATTTCGATCATCCTTAAATAATTATTTTTCTCCGTAGTATTTATTACGATCGAATTAATTATATACGACAATAAATTATATATATATATATATATATGTATATATATATGTATATAATTATGTAACCGTTACATTCGCGTACTTCTTTCTGTTGCAGTGTGAGAAGCGTAATGCACAAATATCTGGAAAAGAAGAAGGAAGTTAACTTCGATAAAATATTCAATCAAATGTTTGGTGAGCAATTTTCAAGTATACTTTGTTGTTAACTGACTCGGTGATCGTGGAATTATCGATTTTTCGTGCAAGGGCGCAAACGTATACGGGATACGATTTCTTCGAGAAACCACACATTCGATATCGAATTTAATCCAATTCAACTTGTCCGTACGGAAAGATCTGAACTGATTATTATAGATTATAGGTAATACCGAAATTCCTTCGAAATCCTTGAGATTCGATTCGCGAATTTTCGTTCGACCAATTTGTAATCAATTTCTTAGAATTTGATAGAATATTAACGGAAAGATTATCACGAAGACACGTGGATAGGAATTATGTCTCTGTCGATTTCTATCAAAATCTTTTAATTATTCCAGGAAAAAATTCCAAATTATTAAAATTATTAAAATTATTAAAATTATTAAAATTATTAAAATTATTAAAAATTCCAAATTATTAAAATTATTAAAATTATTAAAATTATTAAAATTATTAAAAATTTCAAATTATTAAAATTTAATTCGATTATTCGAATTAGCGAGAATTAAGGAAAGTTAAGGTCGACATCGATCGATATTTCGAAGAGCAGAGAAGAGGATAAAATAACGTAATATTCTTTTAGCTTTTGGATTTTTCGAAATGATTTTT